TACCAGGTGCCATCAGGAGGTCCACCAGTGGGGCCAGGACATTAGAAGCCCTCCCACTGTTACCCCCCAAGCACCAAGAATACAGAGCATCCCCTGTCCCAGAGTCCCTATCTATACCTTATGGCTAATAGCTGCTGATGGACATCTGCTCCATATGTTTATCTAATTCCCTCTTGAAGCCATCGATGCTTGTAGCCTCCACCACCTATGGTGGCAGTGAATTCCATGTGTTATTCACTCTTTGGGTGAAGAAGTACTTCCTTTTATCCGTTCTAACCCGACCGCTAAGCAATTTCATTGAGTGTCCACGAGTACCTGTTTCCCTACCTGTTCTATCCCATGCATAATCTTATAAACCTCAGTCGTTGTTTCTCCAAGCCCCTATATAAATCAGTGGTGCGACCTCATTTGGAATACTGTGTGGAATACTGTGTGCAGTTCTGGTCACCACACCTTAAAAAAGATATTATAGCTTTGGAAAAAGTGCAGAAAAGGGCAAGTGGAATGATAAAAGGGTTGGAACACATTCCAGGAGCATAGCGAAAACAACGTCAAGAATAACTACATCAAGATTTTGTATTATTTTGTATTGTACTCATAGTATCATTTACTGTCTTGTCAGAACGATGGCTTGCCCAAGGTCATCCAGCAGCCGCAAGTGGAGGAGTGGGGGAATCAGATCCGGTTCTCCCAGATTAGAGTCCGCACACTTAACCACGACACCAAACCAGGGTGGGGGGTGGACGTAAGAATGCAAGAGACGCCAATGCTGGATCAGGCCGGTGGCCCATCCAGTCCTCCGGCTCCTCTTCCTCCCAGCAGCCCTTGGGTGGGCCTAACTCCTGACACACTTAGCAGCCATCCAGAGTTGTTCAAGGACTGGCCTTAGGCTTGTTCCCAAGAGAGGCTGGATGCTGGGAAACGGCCCTTCTGTCCGGGCGAGTTCGAATACGGGGCCAGGAGAAAACTGTGTTTCTTCTCTGGATGAAAACTACGTTACCTCCGCCCTGCTTCTTCAAGGGGAAAGACGTGCCAAGGGATCCCATTTATTTGGGCTGGTTCCCCTTGGAAGAAGAAGAAAGCCCAGATGTGGAGGCTTCTGGCGCCTGGGTACCCTTAGCTCTCATGACAGATATCCTGGCAGAGCTGAGCGAGGGCGGAAGCCACAGGGATTCCCCCAGAGTACCACGTACCCACTACCCCACGTCAGGTGCCCAGGGGGAGCGTTTCTGCGCCTCCCCATTCTTGAGCCGCATCTCAGCCTCTCTTCCTTTCTCTCTCGATCTACACATAGACACATTCCTGCCCCTTCCCCTCAGCTGGGTGCTCGGACAGAGATCCTGCCTGCCGCTTCAGGCCCGTCAAAAGGACGCCTACATTGGTCAAGGGGTCACCCGTCCCTCTTGACCTTTTGGGGTTTACCTTCAGGATTAGCCCAGAGGACAGACTGAGCCAATGTCAGGAGAGGCCGAGCTTGTTGACATCCTTAAAGAGCCAAACCGAGACCCTTAACTTTCCCAAAGAACCATGGAGGCAGATCTCAAATAGCTTAGTTTGTAATATAGAACAGTGATATTAAACCTGGTCTACAAACCACAGGAAGCTCTTTTGTTCTGTGATGCCCAGTGGTGTATGGGCATTCACTTTTATTTCCCATGTGACCGTGTCTCTCCTTCCCCCCAGGGAGAAGCCTCTTCTCTTCATAGCCAAGTGACTGAAGGCATCTTTACCGTCAGAGATGAACCAAGAGAAGGGGAGAGAGATGGAAGAGCAGAACCCAGAAGGACCTGGAACTGGCAGGACAGTGAGGAAAGGTACCTTCCCACCCTTAATTTAAACCCATTCTTGCAAGTCCTCTCCTCTGCTGCCCACAGGAACAGCTCGCTGCCCTCCTCTAAGTGAACTCCTTCAAGAGAACAATCATGTCCCCCCCTCAACCTCCTCTTCTCCAGACTGAACATTCCCGAGAAGTCCCTCAGCCTCTCCTCTTAGGGCTTCTTGGTCTCTAGGCCCCCGATCTTCCTTGTCGCTCTCCTCTGCACGTGTTCCATTCTGTAGGCGGCCTTTTTGCAGTGAGGCCTCCAGAACTGCACACAAGACTCCAGGTGCAGCCTGACCAACGGGACTGTGACATCTTGCGATTTGGATGTTATGCCGGGGTTGATACACCCCCAGGATAGTATTAGCCTTTTTTGTCGCCGCATCACACTGGCTGCTCATATTTAACTTTCAGTTCACCCTTACCCCAAGATCTTATTCACACAGACTGCTACTCAGAAGAGTATCCCTCATCCACTATGCGCGTTCCTCATTTTTGTTACCCAGATGTAGAACTCGGCACTTATCCTTGTGAAATTGCATCTTGTTCACATCCGCCCACTTTTCCAGTTTGAGAAGTACGCTTTGAGTGTGGTTCTCCAAACAGTTCCCTAACCAGCTAGGTATCCTACAGTCCAGCCCACGGTCCTCTAGTTTACCCATCAGAACATTATGAGGAACCCTGTCAAAAGCTTAACTGAAATCCAGGTGAACAACATCAGCAGCATTCCCTCAATCCAGTAAGCCTTTAGACGCTCACAGATCGATCCCTTTAAAATCTGCTCCAGTATTTTCCCCGGGACAGAGGTCAGACTGACTGGCCTGTAGTTTCCTGCGTCATCCCTCCTCCCCTTTTTGAAACTTGGGATAACATCCGCCCTCCTCCAGTCTTGTGGCACACGTCTCCTGTTCTCCAGGAGGTCTGGAATAAAATGGACAAAGGCTCTGCAAGCTCTCTAGAAAGTTCTTTGAGTGCTCCTGGGCGCCTACCATCTGGCCCGGAGTGAACTGTACTCCTTCAGTGCAGCCAGGGGCTTCTCAGCTACCTCTCTGTCCATGTCAACCAGCAGCCCAGACGCTGTGACTTCCCTACTACCATCTCTAGATGAGTCTCTTCTCTTCTTCAGGGAGAAAACTGAGGCAAAATAGGGATTGAACCTTTCTGCTTTCTCTCTGTCCTCTCTCAGAGTCTCTCCATTTTCACCTAACAGTGGGCCCGTCGCCTCCCTGGCCAGCTTTAGCTCACTGTGAGCTTTGGTCTCTTTGATGTCTGACCTTTAGTGCCCAGCAACCCGCAGATACTCTTCTTTAGAGGTATGTCCTTGCCTCCATTTCCTGAACGTTTCCTTTTTCCTCTCTTAGCATATTGGGCAGTTTTCTGTTCATCCACATTGGCTTCTTGGATCCCCCACCATCCATGTTTCCTTCTTGTTGGAACAGCAACAGCAACAGCTGGAGCTTGCAAGAGCTCTTGTTTTAGGAGAGCCCACTGTAATGTATTCAATAGCTGCCATTGAATGCATAACGATATGTGAACTACATAATTGACTTGCCATGTAAAGCTTCGTCCTGGGCTAGGATCCAAATCCATCCAATCACATTTCTAGCCCAGGAAGAACCAACCAATCACTTGTCAGCAGGCTCCCTGAGTGGGAACATCCTTATTGGTCCTTATGCATACAACCTTATTGGTTGGTAAATGTACAGTAGGCGTGACTACATTAGCCGGGAGAGTTTAAAAGCAGAACAGCTGCAATGTAAAAAGCTGTTCTGGCTATCAGATGTTGAACCGTGTTGGAGTTG